CGACTTCCTTTATGGCAGGCCCTTCCTAATTAGCCATCACCTGCCTGCCCAGGCACCACCTTTGGCAGGTTACCTGGCCCTCCTTCAGGCCCTTCTATGGGAGCGTGACAACAGAGCCTTAACACAGGTCTCATCCAGTAAAATCCCTACAATACTACACCCGGGACACTCGGTACTCTTACAAGATCTCTCTCCGGGATCCTTACAGCCTAAATGGTCAGGCCTCTACACGATTATACTCACTACCCCAACTGCAGCTAAACTTCTGGATAAACCCTACTGGTATCACCTTTTCAGACTGAAAAGAATTCCCTCCCACTCCAACTGGAAATCCACCCAGCTTGCCTCCACCAAGCTCCAACTTAAAAGGCTCCCCAACCCCTAATTCTAGGGCCTATGCCAATACTACCCTACCCCATCTGCTCCTTGCTCTTCCTTTGACACTTGCCCTAGTCCTCTCCATTGGCCTGGACTCAGTAGCCCCACCGGAATGGACTCCCAGAAAGCATCTATTATTAGCAATAATATAGCTCCTACCTGTGGGACTCATAATCTCTCTAAAAAACCTAGACTGGCTGATTGGGACTACCTCACCCCCACAATTGCACTCAGAATTAACCCCTTCCTACACTTAGTCATCCTACTGATCTCCCTGCCCATGAATCTCTTACTGGAAGCTCAGAGGTCTTAGATAAGGGACCAAGTCTGGAGATCCCTCCAACTGACCAGGGCCTATTCCATTCCTTACCTCAAATGGTGTAATCAGACTATCCAGCAGGAAACTGTTCGATTTACAACATAGCCCACCTCTCCCAAGCCTGTAATTATTGCAGGGCTCTCAACCTTGCTGGTGTTTATACACCAAGGAGAGGGCAAAAACACCTGTCTTGACTCAACAACAACCAGACAATGCTAGGAATCTGGAAAACAGTATTACTTAGGAAAGAGCAAAGGAAACCATGACTACCACATATGCTCCCCAGCTGGAAAATGGGTATGCTATACTGGTCTTAAAGAATACGGGCTTCCAGATGGAGGCATTAAGTGTTTTTCAGAGACTCAAGCTGCCGTCCAAACCCAAAACACACAAATTAATTCAAAGATTAAGCTAAAATCCCCTGTTCTCCGAAGAAACCTCGAACTCGACCTGAAAGTCATTTTACTCATTAATGCAACACATGCCCTCCTGACCTGGGTACAGCCCCAGTAAGCATCCCAGCTGCTGACTTTGTATCCAAATGGCTCTTCCCCACATATATGCCACCCCAGCTCAACCTACTAATTACACCCCAATAATTAATCTAACTTCCATCCGAGAAGGACCAATCTTCCAAATGTACTTCTCCTCTAAGCCTCAAAACTGCTTCACAAGTCGGGGTTCCTTTGAGGTTGGCAGTGTGGCCTGCATCAATATGAGCCCAATAAATAATACCAAGTTTTGCTCTCAGTTGCTAGAATTCTACTTAGCATGTGAACCATATGCTTACCAATGCCTCCCAGCAAACTGGTCTGGGACTTGTACCTGGGCAATTATTACCGCCAAGTAGATATCTCAGAGGGAAAAGAAGCAGTCAATGTACCCTTCGTAGCCCACACTAGGGTTCGTAGGGCCATACCATTTATCTCTCTCGATTGGACTCGGAATTGCCGCTGGAATAGGAAACAGTGTTGGGGGAATAGCATCTTCTGCTGCTCATTACCAACAGCTGTTCACTGCCCTAGCACATGGATTTGACCAAGTAGCAAAAATCGTTGAAACTTTACACATCCAGCTAGACTCCTTAGCAGATGTAGTCCTACAAAATCGTAGGGGACTAGATCTTCTCACTGCCAAAAAGGGTGAACTTTGTTTATTCCTGGGGGAAGAATGCTGCTCCTATGCCAATAAATCAGAAGTAATCCGAGACATGGCCAAACAGTTCAAAGATTTAGCCTGTAAAGAGAGATAAGCAGCAGCAGACTCTTGGGCAGATTGGAACGGACTGTGGACACTAATACCATGGTTAATGCCTCTCCTGAGGTCCTTGACAGCTGTTCTTTTAGGCCTGGCCTGTGTCTTATGTTTTCTTAAGGAACACACATCCACCATCACTCAAGTGGCGGTCAACCCAAATGTCCTGTGCTCAAGGAACACACATCCACCATCACTCAAGTGGCGGTCAACCAAATGCTCCTGTGCTCCTAATCTCCCCTTCCTCAAGACCTTCCTAGAGAATGACCCCTAGGTCAACGCCCCCTAACAGCTTGTAGGGTCAAGAGGGAAAGGGGAGCAAGGAAAGCCTTATATGCCTTCTGTATTCCAAGAGCCCTATCTTCCCTCTGCATTCTGACTGGCTCACACCTCTGCACTAGAACAGACCTTCCCGCCTTGAGCATTTGGCACCGCCAAAATTGAACAGAAACAGCGACCTTCATTGGCCAGACAAGGACCTGTAGCGACCACCTATTGGACAACGACCCTTTTAAGACTGAGCAGCACTCACCCTGGGTGTGACTCCCTCAGCATCTGACCAGATCGCAGGACCACACCCAAGAGCTTGTCGTAAAGTAAAAATTTTTCCTGGGTTTTTTTCCAGTACCAAAAGAAAAACAAAAAAGATAAAATTAGTAAGCCATTAGCTAGACTAGTGAAGAAAAACAGAGAGAGAATCTAGATAGATAAAATCAGTAATGAAGCTGATAACATAAATCTGATATATCAAAAATATAAAAATTTGTGAGAAAACTATAAGCAACCTTATGCCAACAAACTAGAAGATCCAGATAAGATGGAAATTTTCCTAATATGCATATGTTACCTAGGCTGAATTGGGATGAAATAGAAATCCTGAAGTCCAATAACAAATGATGAGATTGATTGAGTAATAAATAGTCTCACAATAAGGCAAAGTCCATGTCCAGATGGCATCACTTGTGAATTCTTTTTTTTTGTTCTATATTTTTACTGCCATGAGACTGTATTTTCTATAAGTCCTTCAATCCAGATAGACAGTCACTGCCACTTATAAAGTGAAGGATGTAAATGAGATATGCAACTGTTTCAGTGAACAGATTTTGTGAAGTGCCTTCTGTTTTAGCACTTTATCACATTTTGTTGACTTCTGACATTCCACTTTCCTAGATTATAGGAAAGATCTGTTTATGTAGTTTGTTTTTAAAATGTGCCAATGTCTGTACATTAACAATATTTTTTAAAATAAAATTGTATAAAACATTTAATTTATTGAACTTTTTGGGTACTTTGATATATCATCACTACATTACAACTGAGCCATTAATCTTGTAGCTTCATCAACATTAACAGGTTCATTATGTCGCTGCGGAACCAGATCTTTCTGTAGAGGTTCAAGAGAAAGGCCTCTTGAAAAGTGTGCCAGTTCTTTCTGTATATTTACAAAAGCTTTATTCACTCTGTTAACTTTTTCATCACTCACAATGTTTATCTTCTTAAGATTTGTAGTGACTGGTTTTGCTTTGTTTTTAGCCTTGAAGTTTTTTTGGCTGGCTATGTGAAATACATTCCTGGACTTCTGACCTCTAAATTTGTTCTTGGCCATTGTCAGACCCCGGACACCTGCGTGCAGCTCCTCAAGCTCCAGGTGACGCCAGCTGCACCATCACTTCTGAATTCTATGGAAACATTTAAGTAAGAGCTAATCTTAATTCTCCTCAAGCTTTTTCTATTCATTTGTAGGACACAGAAATGTTTTATTACCTGTTGATGATGACATGCACCGTATTCTCAACTGAACTGGTTTGAGGTGTATTTCATGTTTGGTAAATCTTCTATTCAAGTTAAATGATTGAATGTATAAAAATAATAATATAATTATCATTTAAAAAGGTAAAGAGTCAAAAGGAAGGAACCCTCCCAAACTCATTCTAAAAGCCCCATCACCTTGATACCAAAACCAGAAAAGGACATAGCAAAAAAAAAAAAAAAAAAAAGAAAAGAAAAATTTAGACCAATATCTATGATGTATACTTATGCAAAAATGCTCAACAGACTACTATCAAACCAAATCCAACAGCATATTAAGAAAATTATATACCACAACCACAGAGGCTTTATCCCAGGGATGCCAGAACGGCTCAACATATAAAAATAATTAGTGAAATATGTCACATTAATACAAAGAACGCTAAAAATCATATGATTATAGATGCAGAAAAACCATTTCACAGAATATAATATTCTTTCATGATGAAGCCTCTCAGCCTTCGGGTAGAAGGTACAATTCCCAAGACAATATAAACCATATACAAGAGACCCATTGTAAACATCATACTAAACGGGAAAGGCGCAAAGCCTACACACTAAAAACTGGAATGGGACATGACTGCTCACTTTCTCCACTCCTTTTCAACATCCTGCTGGAAGTCCTAGTAACAAACGCAATCAAATCTTAGAGCAAACTAAAAGGAATTCAAATAGGAAAAGAAGCTAAACTGTCTCTATTTCCAGATAATATGATTATATACATAGAAAAGCCTAAGGATCCCATGATTAAACTCCTAGAACTAATAAATGAATTCAGAATAGTAACAGGATGCAAAGTCAATATACAAAATCTATAGCATTTTTTATACCAACATGGAACAGACCAAGGGACCAGCAGTTAGCATAATGGCTGTGTCGCTAGACTCCCACGTAGTCGACTGCAGTTTGAGTCCCGGACCTGGTGGCTTAAGCGCATGTGTGTGTGTGTGCCCAAGATCCCGAGAGGAGAATGGAGGAGAAGGGATTGCAGCGTGGCCATCACCCCTGGGGGGTGATTTCTCACTTTCCGTTTCTCTGTCTCTCTCTTTCTTTCCAGTGAGCGCATGCACCCTAGAGCAAGAACCTCTCAAAAAAAAAAAAAAAAAAAAAAAAAAACATGGAACAGACTGAGACAGAAAGAAGCAGAAATCTCAATATCTCAATTACAATAGCCACAAAAAGAATAGGTTACTGAGGAATAAACCTAATCAAAGAGGTGAAAGTTCTCTATATGAAAAACTGAAAAAAGAAATTGAGTATGATATAAAAATATGGAAAGACACTGCATGGTCTTTGATTTTGGAATTCAATACAATCAAAATGACAGCTGTACCCAAATTACATATTCTATACTATTCTGATCTAATAACCTGTGATATTATTTTAAAATTATAAAATAGAAAAAGAATAACGATTATATTTGTCTAGAATCATAAAATGATCCCAGGTTGGCAAAGTAATAGTGTACAAAAAGAACAATAAGTGGCATCTCACAGCTCGACTTGCACATATATTACAAAATGGTGATAATCAAAACAGAATGTTACTAAGGAACCAGCAGTTAGCGTAATGGCTATGTCGCTGGACTCCCACGTAGTCGACCGCGGTTCGTGTCCCGGACCTGGTGGCTTAAAACTCACGCCGGGTGTGTGTGTGTCGTGCTCAAGATCCCGAGAGGAGAATGGAGGAGAAGGGATTGCGGCGTGACCATCCCCCCTGGGGGGTGATTTCTTGCTTTCTGTCTCTATGTCTGTCTCTGTCTGGCGAGCACACGCGCCCTACAGTGAAAATCTCTCCAAAAAAAAAAAAAGAAAACAGAATGTTACTTGCACAAAGACCAATGAAACAGAGACCAATGGAACAGATCACAGATCACGGAAATTAACCCCAAATTGTAAAATGAACTCATCTTTGACAAATGGTACAAGACAATGCAGTGGAATAAAGAAAGTCTTTTCAGCAAATGTTGCTGGAAGAACTGGATATCTGCCTGAAGAAATTAATAAGAATCAACTCAAAATGGATCAAAGATTTAAATATCATGCCTCAAACTATAGAAATACTGGAAGAAAACATACAGAAAATTTCTATAGATATTGAAGTAGGCATAGATTTCTTATATAAGGTGCCTAAAACACAGGCAAGAATTCCAAAAATAAAAAGATGTTATTACATCAAGACACAAAGCTTCCTCACAGAAAAGGATACAATGACTCAAGTAAAAGTCAACCCATTAGAATGGGAGTACTTATTTGCAAATTATTCCTCAGACACGAGATTGATATCCAAAATATATGGGGACCTCAGCAACTTGCAAAAATATTGAATTACTACCCAATTAAAAGATGGGCCAATAGGGACCTGCAGATTGGATAATGGTTACATCCCTGAGCTCCCACGTAGTTGACCACAGTTCGAGTCCTGTACCCAGCAGTGTGGATGTGTACCTAAAATCCCAAGAGGAGAATGGAGGAGAAGGGACTACAGCATGGCTATCTGACCAGGCAGCAATTTTTAGCTTTCTGTCTCTCTGTCTGCCTCTGTCTCTCTGTTGAGCATGCTTGCCCTATAGAAAAAAATCTCTGAAATAAAATATTCTTTTAAAAAAAGATGGGCCAATGAATTGAGTAAAAGATTCTCCAAAGGAAATTTACAAATGGCCAAAGGCATATGAAAAAAATGGAGAAAGTGTCTTATCATAAGACAAATGGAAATTAAAACCACAATGAGATATCATTTAATCAGTTAGAAAGTTTAGGATCAAAAAGTAAAGAATTACAAGTGCTGGAGAGGCTTGGTGAAATGGTAACACTCTTATATGGCTGGTGGGAATGTAAATTAGTGCAAACTCTGTGGAAAACAATATGGAGATTCATGAAAAAGCTACAAATAGAACTACCAAATGACTCAAAGTTCCACTCTTTGATATTAATCAAAAGAATAGGAAAACACTCCATTGGAAAGACACTTATGCATCCGTGTTTATTCCAGTATGATTCATAATCTCTAAAACATCAAAAAAACCTAAATGTCAAAAATATGAAGACTGAGTTCAAAAATGGTGGCACATATATGCTATGAAATCTCATTTAGCAGTTAGAATTGATGACATCCTATTATTTGATTCAAAATAGATATTGAATGAAGTAAGCCAGACTTTGAGAGATACAGACTATATATCCTGACTCAGTTTATACGAGGTGCCTGCACTCTGTGGCAGAATGGAGAGATTTGGACATGTGATAGTGGAGAGAATAAGCATAGATACCAGGAACTGGACGGGAGGAGTGGTTGAAAGTGGAAGAGGGTAGGTATAAATTGCAAAGGAAAGAAATATTTAACAGACCCAAAACAAAAAGTTCTCTGTTGAAAAAATATATAGTATATACATCACAATGAGGACTTTATATAAAATTAATGTTGGAAAAAATACTGTAAAAACTGATTGGTCACAAAGTTCTAGATTAATGGAAATCACTCAACTGCTTATTTCAGAACCTGGTTTTGTTTGGTCTTTACTGTCGTTCAGTGTTTGTGCAGGACCAGCGTTCATTTTAGGATAGCTTGGTTGGAGATAGGGTATGGAGGGCTGAGTGAATGGAAACCCTAAAGACAGGTCCCTTGACCTGTGTGAACGAGTGGACTCAACACTGTTCTAGGAGTGTGTGATCTGGTCCTGCCAAGGGTGCAGATTTTGCTATAAGAGTTCTTTCTAATACAGTGGGGTTTGCTCCAGGCAACTTGGTCCTTTAAGAACACCAGGTAGACTGGTTTAATTCCCCTGCTATAACTGTGAATGTGTTGTGAGGGGAAAAGCTGGGCTTCCTGGGCTCTGCAGGGAGTCGTTTGGGCATTGCAGTCTCTATGTGGTTCTGGGAAGACTGTCTCTTGTTTCTCAAGATGTGCTTACTTGGAAGGGAAACAAGATGAGCTGTCCTGACTTGGTGCCTTGTAGTAGACTTGCAGGCAGGAAAGGAAGGTTGGGCAGAAGGAGGAGAGGGGAATGGGATACCAATGGGTTTACATGGTAAGTGCCATGGAAGGCACATTGGTGTGGTGGCAAATGTGGGAAGGTCAGCTTCTCCTTGGCGTGGTAGGTACTGGAAGACAGCAGGTGATCTTTCCAAATGCCACCAAAACCAGGCAGTTCCCTTAACCTTCTCTCATCTCAGCAATGAGTGACAGAGATAAGTGTACCAGGAAGGAATAAATGTCAGCATTCAGAAGTGAAAAGGAGATTTGGGTACAGGTGAGACAGAACAGTTTGGGTAATGGTGTTAAAGCAGTGACCAGGTCACAGGGGCAGCTGAGGCTCCTTAAGGAGAGTTTGATGCCCTTGGTCAGCTGTGTACCTTGTATTTTTCATTTATTTTTTAAATTTTTAATGAATTATTTAATTTTATGCTCCATTATTATTATTTTTAATTTGTTACAAGGTACATGTTCTCCCCAGAGAGAGAATGAATCATAAAATAAGAAAGCAAGTCGCCAGGACCAACAGAACTGCAGTCAGCCATTTGGGGTTTCACGTGCTTAACTACCATGCCATCGGTTGGCCCTAGTAATTTTTATTTAACTTAATATATCTTAATTATAATGTTTCTTTGTTTGTTTGTTTGTTTCTGTGATTTTTATTTTGACTTAATGAAACGAGAATAGAATATTCAGCTAAGGAGGGTTATATATATTATAAAACTCCTTTGATTTGAAAATGTCTTCCTTTCTCTTCATACTTACCACAGGCTACACAATGTCCTGAGAGGATTCATTATGAGAAAAATGTCCATCACAGATTTAATAACTGACTCTGGAAGGAACTAATGAGAAAGAATATGGGTAGG